TGTGTGCAAACACTACTGAGGTGTGCCGCACGCCACCACGAGTCTATGGCCCCTGTGCTAGTATGCCACACACATCGAGATATGTCCCACATTTTCATGGGAGAAGACAAGAAAGTGAAAAAAACACCTGAATTTTGTCTTCCGCGTCTGAGTTCCTGTGTCTATGCGGAGATGCCGAGGTCGGTTGAGGGCTCATGTCGGCGGATTGCATGGAAAGTCCGGATTGCTGTGTGGAAAAAAACTGGACGGCGAGACTGGTGGTTTAAACCACCCATACATGTCCCACACATTTTTCTGAGGCGCACCGTGCATGCAGCCATGTTGGGCAGGATGTACCGGGGCAGCATGGAAGGCCCGATTTGCCTGGATGGATTTCCACCGAAGCGGCAACCCGGTACAGATTTGCCTGGATGTATTTCCACCGAAGCGGCCCCCCGGTACAGATTTGGCCAAAACCGTAGATTGAGGCCACCAGAGATCAATGTCAAAAAAAAAAAAAAAAAAAAAAAAAAAAGAAGAAAAGACTCACCAGTCCTCTTGCGGTAGATGTCCTGCTCCTGACAGAATGCTTGTTGTCACCATTTTCGAATTCCATGATGCAAAGGTTGAGGCTTCCGACTGCGACAGATACTTGTCATCCTCTCCCCAGATCACAGCCGTTGGTACTTCCCACCTGCAATCGACATCCCACATTCAAGAATGAAGGCAGATCTATGGTTCCTTTCCTTTTTTTTCTTTTCTTTTTCCCCTATAAAACTAAGCTATATTCTTCTCTCAATTTCACCTTTTCAATGGCAGGCAGGAAGCATAACAAACAGACCTACCTACCACTACTCCTAAGCCTGTACAGGGTAGTAGGGTACCCCTTTATTGCAATTGGCCGTAGGGGGGAATGAGGTAGCTATGCTTGCAACGGTTCCTTTCTTTTCTCTTCCCCCCTCCCCCCAACAAGATACATTTCATAACGTCTCCTCGTGCCCTCCTCCCCCCAATCGCAATAAATTAATGCTCCTCCTTTCTGGGGCGCGTCGATCCGGTTCCTTTTCGACCGGCACGTCAGAAAATACAATTTGTTATACCCTCTGGAAAAGCACCCAACTTTTCGCTCTGCCCTGGGCCCCTTGCAACTTTGCCTTACACCCTTTTTTCTTCTTCTTTTTTTTCTTTTTCTTTTTTTTTTTAAACAAAGCCCTGCTGGCTGTCTACTAGAAGGGGTGATCTGAGCAGCCCCCGCTAGGCGAGCTGGACCTGCTGGAAAACGCGTCCAGCGTCCCTTTCACATTCAGAGCAAGCTTATTCTCTAGATAATTATGCTGTTATTCTCGACTTGTCTTTTCCGCGACTTGTCCTTTCCTGTTGATCGTGTGTGTGTGAACTTTCACCCCTAGATAATTATGTTTTTACCACCCGCATTGATTTCCCCCAGTCTCTTGTGGATGGACTGTGCGGGTGTGATGTAGGTGTCGGTGCGCTGTCGATGATGATTTTCATCAACGGTCCGCGCTTGTTCGTTTTCCAGCGCGCAGGGTAGGTATCCCCCCCAGGGTCGGAGAAAAAGTGCCTCGGAAGTACTGATGGAAACCAGTGGGACTTGAATCGGCACTTCAGATGGGTCCAGATTTCCCAATGGGTCATGAGCAGGAGGCTGCACCTATACCGTAGGGGAGGCTTGGGAGAGGTTTGGGCAAGGATTATTTTAAAAAAGTGGCAGCACTTGCCTGCGTTCTGCAAATCCATCCTTGATGCGATTCTCGAGCTCCTTGAGAGGTGCCTTTCTCATCACCTCCAGCATTGCTGCAAAACAGGGATGACAAACAAACAAAAACACAACACACACACACACACACACACACACACACACACACACACACACACACACTCTGTCAAAAAAAGAAAAAAAAAAAAAAAGAAAAAAAAACTGTGTCGCACACACAAAAAGACAACTGTTACATCAGCGTGCTTTTGCCTTCGGTGGTTTCCCCAAAGTCTTCATGTGGTCTTACGTTATCAACTAAATACAATAGCTGGAAGGAGATTGCCACAGGGGTTTTGAAATTCCAACCCTGGATGGTCTAAACAGTTCAATTCCACCCGGGATGGAACCATGAGACAGGACCAGGTCCTAAAATTCCAACCCTAGCTGGTCCAAAGTTCTCCAAACAGTTCAATTCCATCTGTGGGGATGGGACCATGAGACGGGACCAGGTCCTCAAATTCCAAACCTAGCTGGTCCAAACAGTTCAAATTCATCTTGAATGGTAACCTGAGAACGAACCTGGTTGTGACATGCCAAACCTAGCTGGTCCAAACAAACAGTGAAAGTCCACCTGGACTGGGACCATGAGACGGGACCAGGTCCTGAAATTCCAAACCTAGCTGGTCCAAACAGTGAAAGTCCACCTGGACTGGGAACGTGAGACGGGACCAGGTATTGTTTAAGTGGACCATCCACTTGTTTACAAAAGATTTTAATTTCACAATTACTAAGTCACTGGTTACTCAACTGGAATGGTCTTGCACTCCGACTTCATGGGAGATGGGGGGAACATGAGACGACGCCAGGTCCCGAGATCAACCGGGTTCATCCAAATCGTTAACCAAGACAGTAAGTTGCTTAAAAAAAAAAAAGCATGGACCAGATTACCAGCAGATCCGGTCCCAGGATAAACACGTTGGACCGGTCCATTGGAATTTGGAACCTTCTGGAAGAAAGTTCGTACCAGCTGTACCACGGCTCAGAAACAGCGCTGGACCGCTGGACCAGGTTAACAAAAAATATTTTAACAACAAATCGGACCTGAAAACCCCAAAAGGCGCAAGGGAACGGATTACGAGCTTCCCCCCACTCACAAAAGAAGAAGAAAAGAAAGAGGAAAGAAGAAGAATTATGTGCCCATGGCAGACTTGTGGACGGTATTCGTCACCACCCGGTTCAACTCTGCGGCCTGCAGAACGAATGTGGACAGCTTTTTTCCACCAAAAGTGCCTTTACAATGGAGACATTGTGCTGCTTGCAACGACATAGACTCACACTACCTTACCGTACGGCTTTTTCCACTGGCGTTAGAGGGGACACCACACCACCCTCCTAGGGAAGACCTTTTTTTTCTTCTCTTTTTTTTTTTTTTTTTTTTTTTTTGCTTTAATGAGTATGTCCTAGGAAGAATTCCATTCTCAGACTTGCACTCACAAACTGAGACTGTACTGGAAAGTTGGAAACTTACCAAAACCAGCATCACTGCTATCGAGATAAGGTAGCCTGTAAACATCCGCGTCTTCAATGTCCAACACATACCTGGCGTCAAACCATTCATGAGTCGAGAACACACAAACAACAGATTATTGTTATGTTCTCATCGTGGCCCGGGACCACTTGCCCGGCCAGGCCAAAAATGAATTAAAAATTAAAAAATAAAAACATTCTCCAAATGCATGTCGAGTGCTGTGTAGTGGAGCGAGGCCCTCGTTCTGCATTGTGATTGCTTTAACTTTGAGTGGATATTCCTGTTGTTGCCGATTCTCACGATTGCCGGTGCCGGGTTCATTACAATTTGGTATAGCATAGTTCTTTTTTACTAATTATCATTATCAGTAGCTACATCAGCAGTCATCGTTCATCATCATAATCATTAGCATCATCAGTTGAGGGACGCTGAGCCCGGTTCTCAGCAAGTCAGATTCGATCACTCCGGGCAGACTGTGAGGACCCCGGCCTCAATCTGTTTATTGGTAAAAAAATAAATAAATAAATAAAAAATAAAAATAAAAATAAAACAATTTGGTATCAGCGGAGATAACTCTTACCTCGCCAGCTCATGAATGTTGGAGTAGAAGTCCACCGTGAAGAAGAAGTGCGGCATTGGTGATTGCGGCTGAAATACCTACTTCTTGGAGAGAATAGTCGGTGGCAATCGACTGGGGTGCCATGTGTGATCTGATAGGGATTTGTTGGTTAGAATGAGTCGTGATCTTCTATTCTGTCGTGCTTGGAATTTACGTTTCAAATCTTCTTATTTTGATGATCTGTAGGTACTGGGTCGGTAATGGTTTGTAGACTGGTAATTCTTGAGTTGTGATTTTCTCCTGGATGGTTACTCTGAAATTCTGAATTCCTATGATCGTAAAATAGAAATATGTTCGACATATGATGGATCTTATATATGCTTCGCTGAAAAAACCTGTAGGAGTCCTTAGCATAACGTGATTCCCGTAATGGAATATCTGATGTCTGTTCTTATAATCAGCCAAAACAACTTCAGAATTATTTTGTCCTTAATACACACTTGAACGCCATCTCTGAAATAATTACGTCATAATTTATTAATTTGAATAATTTCTTTTCTTAAATATGTGCTCCTGAAATATGACCTGATTTTTACTTCGCAAGTTCTAATATTCGAACCCGAAATTTGAATCAACAAATTGGTAAATTTCTTGACGATTGCCTTGGTATCATTTTTTATTTTTTTTATTTTTTTTTAACAGGACCTTATGGCCCTGGCTCCATTTCCATTCTGGGGAGCATCGGTCCAGTTCCTATTCCACCGGCAAGTCAGGAAAAGTAATTACATCACAGGACACTCTCATGCTTCCTTCCGTCTTCCCGTGCAGACACAGCCTTATTGACTGGATGTTTTTTATGGACTAAGATGGTAAGGTGTGAATTACCAAATTCGTAAGGTAGAATCAGTTTCGATCTTAAACAGTGATTCCCTCCTAAGTAATTGGTCTCTGTTGTGGGTCTGGGGTCATAGGTGTCGAATGGAATATCTCCTTTAGGGTTGGAGCTCCTCCTTGTGGTGGGCGGTGTGATCTTTGAGAGGGTAGGGGTGGTACAGAGGGTTTGTCCTTTTCTGGGCCACGCTGATCCTTGGGTCGGATCAGCTATGGCGATTGGGGAGAGAGGACAAGGGGTGCTGATGTCAGCAAGGTGAGAGTCGAGGGGGCTGTTCCGCTTGGAGGGGGTGGGGCAGGAGGGAAGGGGGATCTTCGGCTCTGCGGGGGCATACTTTAGGGGGTACTGTATGTGTCTGAGGGAGCAGGAGTGCTATTTTGGGGGCTGTTCTGAACTGGGGCGGGGAGGTGAGGGGGCACCTTCCCGCGGAGGCAGTAAACAGACAGGGGGTTGTCCTTTTGAGGAGAGGAATAAACCCTTTGGTTCTTGTGGCCCCTCTATATGTAACTGAGACTTCAATAGGCGCTGGAGTTTCCACGGGGAGAGAGGGTAGTCTTTCCCCCTCTTTCCCTTTTCCTGTGGAAATGGTGGGCGTTGAATGTTCATCTGAGTCTTCTGAATCTTTTGAATTCTTGCTTTTCCTAATTGGAAATTCTTCAATGGTTTGGTGCTGGAAGCAGGGGGTTGTGGTGGTTGTGATGGTGGGAGACGACGCGCCCTGCGGCGAAGGGCCTAGCCTGTAGGGTTGAAATAGGGTACATCAGCTGTGGAGATGGTGGCTTCATCGCCGTAAGACTTGCCGGAGGAGGGCTGAGAGGGATTTTTGTGGGATATCTGCAACTAATGCCTGACCCGAGGCTTGGGGTTGTTTTCTTGTGTAGATTGCACAGTTGTCATTCTTAGCCTAAGCCGGGTAATGGCCCCGGTATTCGAAGATTTTTCCAAATTCCATAAATTCCTCAAAAAAGAAGAAAATTCTTCTAAGGCTTGGTGCTGGTGGCAGGGGGTTGTGGTGGCTGTGATGGTGGGACTCTGCGGCGAAGGGGCTAGCCTGCAAAGTTGAAATAGGGTATAGCAGCGGTGGAGATGGTGGCTCCATTGCGGTAAGAGACTTGCCGGAGTAGGGCTGAGAAGTTTTTTTTGTGGGATATCTGCAACTAGTGCCTGAAGGATGGATGATCGGATCTACAGCTATGGCGCTGATTGGTGGCTTGACTGGTATCTGCCGTAGTCCTTAGTCCCGGGGGTTTGCGAATAGACAAGGCCAGAACGGCGCTGGTCGGTGCTGGGGCTTGGTCGCGCTGCCCTGTAACTCGAGCTGTACGAGGGCATGACACCTGGTAGAGATATCTGGGGAGTGGTCGAGGTGGAAGGCATTCTAGTGTCTTTTGGTGAGCTGGTGCCTAGTCGACGCTGGCCGGAGCCGGGGCGATCGCGTTGCCCTGTGGCCTGGCAGGTGGGGGGTTTCTGGGGTGGGTTGTGCCACTCTGTAATCTAGCAGTTGGGGGCGTGAGGCTTTGTAGAGATTGGGCATCGGGGTATAGCGGTGAGGCAGGTAGGGTTGGGCCGCTGAAAGGCACCAAGGCAGGTAGTTTTTTGGGTCTGAATTCTCCTTTGAGCCAAGGCTCGAAAAACAAAAGGGCCCTCTGAATTTAGTACTGCATAGATGTCTGTTTTCTTCCATTAGGCCCTTCAAGGCTGTTTCATTAGTACTTGGTGCAAGTTGTTCTCAGAATTTTCTCAGCCAAAGCCGGGTAATGGCCCTGGTGCTTTAATACTTGTGTATTTTATATGGGACGCTGGGCCCGGTTCCCAGCATGTGCTGCTCCCATGAATAGATTGGAGCATTTTGTTCCCTCCCCCTCTTCCCCCCCCCAACCCACCCACCCAAAAAAAAAAAGGGGTGCCATGTGTGAAGAAGGTGGGGAGGATTGGCTGGTTGGGGAGGAGATTACTCACCTGAGAGAGAGAGAGAGAGAGAGAGAGAGAGAGAGAGAGAGAGAGAGAGAGAGAGAGAGATTCTCTCTGGTTTGCCCCTTACAGACCTGCTGCTCCCTTCGACAAACCGTTCTGGTAGGACCGCATTCTGAGAAGCAAATTCACCAATGAAAGGTAGCCTGCATCATGAATTTTTCACAAACAACCATGCAATATTATAATCCACCCATTTGTCAAACACATCCTGTCCAATCAAATGAAATTCAAACTTTTGTGTACTTCATATTACGAGTCACAATATGCTGCTATCAACAAGAGGATAATCTTGTTTCACCACACCAGCTGGCCTGCAGCAATACTAGCACTATCAAAGGAACACCAAACAACAAACATCATTGGTGCTGCCTCCCATACAAGGTACAAACATAAACTCTTGTATGGGGAGAGACCTCTTGCTCTGTAGTCGTTAACTCATCCTCAGAGGAAAACATAAACTTCCATTTCAACAATATACATGGATCCGGCTCCTTGTCCATTCTGAGGAGCATTTGAAAAAAACAAAAAAGAAGAAGAAGAAGAAGAAGAATTTTAAAAACCAATATCCATGGGGTTGCTGCCAAGTCCGAAAGACACTCTACTTTGAAAAAGGTTCTTCAAATACTTTTCTAACTCTTAACTTATCAAGTACTGCAAGGAAAATGAGAGATAGCGAAATGACAGGATTCCAGAGCGCAAAATACATTGAAAGCCAGCAAGTCCAATGCTGTCCAGCAGAGAGAAGAAATGCACTGACATTCCACCAATGGAGAACCAAAGCACTGAATCCGAATGCCAATGAGAGCATACTCTCGCCACCACCAACATATGTGTCCAGAGTCCTTCCTCCTACTTAAGCTCAGCGCCCAGACTACGATCACACAGCTACTAGCAGCCTACGAATTGACAGTGGATCCTGTTGACGTCAGCGGCAACAACCGAAGTACATGACGATGTCGACCTTGTAGACCATTGCCAAGACCAGGTGCGCGCCCTCACATCATCAACCTCATCTTTCTCTCTCTCTCTCTCTCTCTCTCTCTCTCTCTCTCTCTCTCTCTCTCTCTCTCTCTCTCTCTCTCTCACCCTCTTCTTCATCACCCACGTCTTCTCCCTCTTACACGAAGACCACCGCCACCTCCCGCTCTGACTGTCCAGCCCAAGTCCGGCTATGTCGGCTGGGCTATGGCGCTGCTGCGCTGCCCTCAGCAGCGCCTTTTTTTCCTTCCTCGACACCCACACTAGCACGGCATCGGCTACCGCACAGCAAGTAGCCCGCGAGCGCATGCTCCAGCAGCGCTGCCGCTTGCACAAGCCAGTGCCCGAATGCCTCTCCCCCGGCCAGGCACTTTGCTATTTGCAAAGTGGCCTGGCTGGTTGGCTGCCTGGCCTGCCTCTTGTGTGCCTCGTAGCTTCAGGTTGGGGCAAAGTGTCTGCGCCCAGGCCCGTTCAGACAGCGGCCTGGGACCGAATTGAAATGGTTAGGCATGCCCAACCACCCAGGCACAAACGTGCGGTGTTCCCTGCTTCGACCACATTGCTGGAAGAGCCTGGAAGGCTCACGCATATTTCCGATTCTCACAAGCGAAGCGGATGTGACCAACTGGCGCGTGGCAACTGTCTGGCACACACCAAGATTTGACAAAAATTGACGAACTCAGGGGCACATTGAGATTCAGGGGGGCGCCTTCACTTAGGGCGGGCACGCGCCTGCTGCAGGGCCTTATGCCGAGGGGTAAACCCGTGCAGTGCTATTAACTACCTTAACCTACTATTAACTTAGTATTAAGTAGTATTAAGTAGTATTAAGTAGTATTAAGTAGTATTAACTTTTAAGTAGTATTAACTTTTAAGTAGTATTAACTTTTAAGTAGTATTAAGTAGTATTAATTTACTATTAAGCTTTTCTCGAGGAATTTGCCAGAGAAGTTGAGAGAACAAGAAAATAAGTTTAAGGAACGCATCTAACAAAATAAATTGAAATTGTCAATAACTATCCACGCCACTGGGAAAAGCAGAGAGAAAGAAAAAAGGAGGCCAAAAAGGGCACACGTGGTTAACGGGGACCCCCAGTTTCAGCTCCAAAAAGGGAGGAAGCAGCAGCTGCTTAGTACTCACCTTAGCTGCTGAAGAGGAGCCGGAAGCGAGGCAGAGGGGGTCAGAGGGGTGTTGAGGATTGCCAGTTTCACAATTCTGTTTGGATTTTTGAGAGCCCAAGTCAATGCATATTGACCTAAGACATAACCCTGTCACAAGGAGACAGCACCACCAAAATGTCAACAAACCACACCACATTTTTTAGAAAAAGTTGAAAATTTTTCAAAGCCCCTTCGAACACACTTGAACACAGAATAACTCTGTTGGAGCCACACACGTACACACAACGGAAGACTTAGATACCAGTGATCCGAACAATCAATGTTGCAATGCCGCCCTGAACATACATCATCATCATCGTTACATGGTGTGAAATGGCCCTGGCGCTTCACACAGGAAGACTGCACCAGCCCATACCATACACAGACGAAGAGGAAGGGGATAAACGACGAGGAGGGGGAAGATGGGAATGTCGTCAACACCAAGTCTTCGGCACAAGCCCAAATAGTCCCTCGTCGAAATGTCTGAATCCCAAATGTCAAGTCTGGATCCAATGTCGTCAAGTCTCAAGTCACAACTCTGTCTCTCTCTGTTGTAGTCT